TAGAAACCTCCCTGCTCTCTGGCCCTGTTACCACTTCAGCGGAGGCAGCAGGAGGGAGGGATAAGGAAAAATGTTGGTGGAAATTTTCAGATGACAAACTGTTTTCTCCCCAAGTACAAGAACTGAGTTTCCAACCAGAGATTCAGGCTTATTTCAGCCCACATGGCCTCATGGATTAATTCAGAAACTGGCTGTAAAGGGTGAGGAGTTGGGGCACCATGGATTCAGCATTGCAGAACTGCCAGGAGGCACCTTCACGGGAAGGGATCTTCCAGCCGTTGGGCAGCAGCCATCTCGGGGGCCGGTCCTTTTAGCAAAACCCCACTATTAAAAGTACTGCATTGTACACCTAAGATAATGAAAACATAGAACAGATGTTCATCCTGTCCACTGCTCATTTTATTGCTTTTTAGTTTATGTCATGCCCAAGTGAGCTTTTTATTAGAGAGTACTTAATCGTGTTTGGACTCAAATGTTCTCTGCTTCTGCTCCCTATTTTCTTGAGTGTCTGCTTTTAGAAATAATCTTTCCCTGAGACACATGGAAAGGGAGTGATTTGCAAAGCCTCAGCTAGTGTAATTAAGAGCCAACAGCAGCTGACCTGAAAAAGCAACAGTGAAAAATACAGTCAATTGTTAAACATAAATTACTCCGTAATTAAGTCCAATTGCCTCATAACAAAACTAGATCTTTCTCTCGTCCATTACTTGGACAAAAATCGTACTGAGGGAGTTTACGTGTGGCATATTCTTCCACTAAGAAGTTCCTAACTCTGTGAAAGATAGTATCACGGCAAAAGAAAGGTTTATGTAAGCTTAGGTTCAAGCGCTGGTCTCGGGGAAGCGATGCGTTCAGGGTATGGCCGTATGAGGTACCTGAGCCAGCCGGTGAAAGGGATACTCCTGCTTCCCTCCTCACCACCCCAACCTCTCCCTGTCCCACTCCCTTTTCCTTGCAAAAAGTGCCCGTTCACCCCAGCCCCTTCATCCAGGCACACCGTCAGCAACTAGAAGGCAGGCAGGCGGGACGTTTCTTAGCAGCCCAACTGGCCAGACCTTCAGAGCTGGTGCAAAGCCTTCGGATTAGAAGGGCTGCACAGAGTTACAGCAGTTCAGGACCGCAGAGGTCCAAGAGCCAGATGAGCTACAGGCAAGTGTTTATACTGCTAAACTTCACTTCGATTTCTGTGAGTTAACTTGGACTTTCCTTGAATTTGCCCAAGGAGTCACCTCCACTTACAGTGTAATGACAGCCAGCGTAGTCACACTGCACAAGTTTTACAAGCTTCGGGAAGTAATTCCTCCTTATGCCTCAGGACATGAACACACCCCTGATAAGCAGAAAGGGGCTGCTCATAGTTATGTCTTTTTTTTCCACTATGGAGCTCCGTGGGCACTTTTCTATCCACTCTGCTGCTGGCCACAGCCAAGGGACTAAGCAATCGCAGGTATGACCAGTCTGCACCTCTACACTTCTAATACGGTGGACAAGACATTAAACAATGCTTATACTCTTTGCCCAGCATCAGAGCCTTGACTCATAATACCCATGGTTTTTAATGTTGTAGAGGAAAGAAGAAACCTAAAATCACTGCTAGAAAAATGGCAAAAAGAACATTTATGCTTGATAGTCCTTCCTGGTCAAAAAAAGTAAAAAAAAAACCATTGCTGCAAATAGGACTGATTTCCAGATCTCCTTCTTGTCCATCCACTAGACCTGAGAAACAACAGGGGAATCCCACAAACAGCCAAGGGTGACCGAGACGACAACAGGCTGGGTTTCTGTTCGGTTTTCTTCAGATTTTGAACAAGGGCAACAGAAACCACTGGTTCCCAGGTTAAATTGCCTTGGCTCACAAACTGATTGTGGAGGACAGGATCCTGAGAGGGAAATGTGAATATAAACCAAACCATCATACTGCTCTGCTAGGGTCTCCTCTATGAGATGGTAAGAGCTTTCAACTTCACTTCAATAGAGAAGGGACTGTAGCAGAAATTGTCTCCTACTATTGACCAGTTCAGCTTATATAGGCTACGTTTAGTTTTATAACACTGTCTTTCCCTCGCTTTCTTGCTTCACTCTACGCGAGCGGGGCAATCACAGCAATAAAGTTGCTGTCATCAGTGCCGTTTATTAGCCCTTAAAGTGTTAGGGAGCAGCGAGGCCAGCCTGCCCGACGGCGGGACAGCCATGCTGGAGAAACGAGTGCCTGATAGACACCAGCATCTTCCACAGGGCAACCCCTCGGCCTGGATCACTGCAGGTGTCTGTGCAAGGCAGCGGCGGCATCTCTTGGATGTTGATCTCCAAGAAGAAAAAGTGTTATTTCTATTACACTTCAAAAACGTGTGTTTCGTTGGTGCTTTGGTTGGGAGTGAACGGAATCGCACACCTCATCCGACAGTTTTCTTGCGGCACCGGCAGCGCTGCCCGGCGCAGGGCGGATGCTCAGCTTCTGGCATCCCCGTTCACAGCTGGAGCTCAAGGGAAACGGGGCGGCTCTGCCACTGCCTGAGACGTGCCAAGGCAGTCTCCACCCTTCCCCAGCACCGACTCGTTTCCTAGTAATTTATAAGTCATCTGCCCCCCAGCAATCCTAAGCCGCAAACCGCCCAGTGAACCAGACCGCTTTCTGGAGAGAAAGACTGACGTCCTCTGAAGAGAGCTAGAGATTCAACAGACTGGTTTTGTAAGTCCCAAATGCAGATGAAACCTGGTGAGATTTTACTGTAGGCAAGAGGAAGGTGGCCACTGGACTTCTGTCAGATGGTATTTGAAGGTTTGTTCCAGGAATAGAGCTACACACATTTTTTATAATAATGATTACTATTTTTTTTTTTAATCATATCCAGGCCCCTGAAATTTCTGTCTGCATTCTGACAGCTCAGGGTCTTTATTTAGCCACCTATCAGTCCTGTCCCAAACAGAAGACCTGTAATTGTCTGTGTTTCTCTGAAATGAGGTTAAAGTCACAGGAAGGCCACACAAGAAATCTAGAGCAAAATAGGAAACATAACTGGATCTTGGTTCCTCTCTTGGCCATCAGAAAATGCAACCTGAAACTTGCAATCTCAGGAAACTGCCCAGATTCACAGTCCTTATGTGTTATCTCTGCTTTCAATGTTCAGGAGAACCAGACGTTTTGCACCAGCCTCTGCTGTCAGTTACTATGGCACAAATCTGTGCTTCACCAGCTGCGGTTAAATTACTCAATTAAATGTTCTTTGTATTTTCACTAAGATACTAATGGGCCTTGCACCTGCTTGCAGGATTTGGCTGAAAAATATACCTTAAAATTAGTTAACAAGCTCCATAGTGGGGGAGAACTGCATCCACTTTAGTAACATGCTGACATGTGGTTCCCAGAAGACCATGTGTTTTGGGGTGGAAGGATCCTTTGGAGGTAACCAAGTCCAACCTCCTCCTCAAAGCAGGGCCGTTGGCCAACACCGATTCAGATCAACCTGAGCTACATCATTTATAGTTATTTTGCACATAGACCATTATTCTACATCTCAGGGACTTTCATTGACTTTTCATTGATTTCACTGACTTTTGATGTCCATTTGGTATGGGGCAGGGAGGCAAATGTAAATCCCATTTAATATGTGTGAAAGGGATATATTGCGTGAGTTGTACATTGACTCTGAAGCCACCTGAGGTCATATTATGAGACAAACTCAGGGCACTAATGAAGGTTGTGTAAACGTCGCCCCTGAAGTGTGCCGTGAGCCGAAGGCAGTGAGTGGAGAAATGCTGACTCCATAGCAGCTCACGTGGACTTTAAAGTAGGAGCGATGAATATGAGCATTTACGTTATGGAGGGAGCACAGAGAGATCTCAGTAAAGAGCGCTGGAAAGGGGCACAAAGAAAAAGTGTTTGCATAAATCTGTCTCCCCGATGGCTGCGTGGGGAACTTCAGCTCTTACCTCGGTGCACTCTGAATTGCACCTGGGGAAAACACCTCGCAGCTTGAACAAGGTGGATGTGAGTAACCCACCCAGTGCATCCCCCTCTCTCCAGGAAGGATTGAGTGTCCTTGCAAGGTGAAGGTACAAGCTGTCTGTGTGGTCTTTGCCTTTCACTCTGAGGATAAGCCCACTTACAGATCGGAGCGCCGCCTCTCCACACATCACCAGCCAATTGGAGATCCCGAGGTGTAAACAAACAGCACATTGCCAACCCAAAACGGGCACTAGTAAAACAGAAAACACTGCTTTTATCTTGTGGGGCAGCATTTATTCTTCTTGATCTAATTATTTGTCATAAATGAAGTAAGCTAAAAAATTAGTTTTGTAATCCTTTATTGGTCCATAAAATTTACTTCAAGGTTTAGCAGAGCAGAGACAAATGCTAATGCTGCCGTCTCTCTTGCCATTGGAAAAGTGCAAAATACAGTTTGAAAAGAGAATAGCTAGGCCAAACTCTTTTGCCAACAACACAAAACCTTGTGTTAGGGCTCAGAAAAGCTGAAAAAGTTTAAAATTGCTGGTTACGGTTCTCCCAGGCTGCTACCCAACTGAAAAATGTCCTTAGGACACCCGTGTCCATCTATGGTACCCAAAGTTAACAACTAAAAGGAAGACAGATGCAAAATAAGAGCTCAGCAAATGTACTCATTTCTAACACAAGAGTTGCCAAGTCCCTACCATAGTAAATTACCATCTGCCAGGTTCTTGTATGATTTGAAGGATAAGCTCAGCCTTTTCTAGATCCAATAAAAAGCTGAACTGAAATGTTCATTTCAGAGAAATGCGGATGAGGGAATTAATCTCCTAACTCTGCTCCTGCTGTGCAGTCTTATATAAAACCAAATGGTGCCATGTTTCAGGTGCTTCAAAGGGTGAGAATCTGCAGGAGAACATTAAAAAGATAAGAAATAACAACATATTCCTTAAAACGTTGAGCTGGTGTCACTTCAACATGAAACAGACAGCCTGATTCATTGCCCTCTATCACAGATAATGCCTAACGAGGGTTTCTCTCTGCTTCATTTCAGAACCACGACCGCACGTGCATCGCGTGCAGAATCATCTACCGGTCGGACGAGCACCATCCTCCCATCCTACCCCCCAAGGCAGATCTGACTATAGGGCTACACGGAGAGTGGGTGAGCCAGCGCTGCGAGGTGCGACCAGAGGTCCTCTTCCTCACTCGGCACTTCATCTTCCATGACAACAACAACACCTGGGAAGGTCACTACTACCACTACTCCGACCCCATCTGCAAGCACCCCACCTTCACCATCTACGCCAAGGGACGCTACAGCCGGGGAGTGCACTCGTCCAAAGTGATGGGTGGCACGGAGTTTGTGTTCAAAGGTAGAATGGCTTGCTACACTGGAGGCGGAGCCGGTCACGTAGTTATGGACCAGAGTAGCGTTTGCTCATAACGATTTGGTTGCTGATGATTTCATTCTGTCATTTGTAGGAGTTAGTCATTTCTTGGGAAGTTCTCAGGCACTGTGTGAATGCCCAGCCAAACTATACAGCTGCACAGTATTTCGCACCATTGAAGCAATACTCATTTGAGGCAGAGATCTTTAAGCGCAGCACAAGAAAATAAGCTTTCGCATCACTAAGTCTTGGAGTCCAGTGGCCAGACTTCAAGCATCTAAGCGAAGTGTCTAAGATTAGATCTGTGTCCTAAGGCTCTTTCAGTAGAGAGAAAAAAGCACCTTCAGGAAGGCTTTTCAGGTCATAAGTGGTATAAATCATTTTCTGTCAAAGACATATGTAGCAGCATGTGTCTTTTCATCAGATTCCAAGGGGCCCTAGAACAAGTAAGGATGTCCCTAAAGACAGCTCTGATTAATCCCACCACAGAGAAGACTAGATGTATCTAACCAAAACCCCTGGAGTACTTTGGGAAGCAGCGCTCAGTGACGACGCCACCCGGGACCCTGCGGCTGAGAAGTCTTCCTGTGCAAACAGCCCCGTAGCACCCTGCTTAGAAAAAGCTCATAACCACTCACACAAACAAACATCTCCAAAACACGACGTCCCGCCACAGAGCCAGCCCCAGCAGAGCCTCTTGGAAGCCCCAAGCACTCTGCGGGCTCTTCTCCTCCTTATTTCAGTTACCATGTGAGAAGCATAAAGCTTCCTGCATGGCTCCAATTTAGGAAAGCATCTAACTATAAGAAATAATTTACTAATCTGGGATTTTCATAGGAGGCAGGAGATACCCTTGCCTGTCAGAGCTTTTGCTCTTTAGAGCTGCATGCAGCATGTCCCAGCTCAGCTCTGGGGGTGAAATCCAGTTTTTGCTTGAATTTCTGGTTTATGGTATGCCAACTTACCTTACAGATCGAGGTCACTAATTTGGTTTTGGTAAAACTTTTAGGTTCAATTTCTATAAATTACCTTTTACACCAGGTAGGGCAAATAATGTGAACTGTAGAGCCATTGAGTCGAATGTCTGTTTGTAAAACCTCAAAATAAAACTCCCAACAAATCTTACTATAAAATGACCTGCAAGAGAATTTGGGATTTTGGTGTGTTGGGAGGCATGAGGGCTGGTTATTTGCTTCTGTTTTGGTCAGCACCAATCCATTCAGATCCCCTTTTCTTGATATACATGTCAAACGCACATGAGGAAAAATCTCTATTGAGTTTCCATAGGCTCATTCAGTTTGGCTTTTCCCAACTTTTAAAACTTGGCTGAAAAATAAAACTTTATTTGCCTCAAGGTGCTTTAAAATACAGGCAACTTGGAACTGCAGAAGCTGCAGCACTTCTACATTTGATATGTCAAGCTGCAGCCACTGTTTAGATATGAGAAAAAGCATCTCTCTGTAGTTGAGCAATAACTCATGCAAAAAAGGCAGGTAATACAGGAAGATAGCGCAGCTGTGGTGCTTTCCAAATTTTCCAGTTGGAACTAATTATTTCATTAACTTTACAGGGTAACAGATGTTAAAAAAAGATGAAAAATACATTATAAACAGCCCTACTTATGGATTAATACAGATGGTAATAAAACATGAGTAAAGTTTTATTGTTTTCTCTTTTACCTATCTCCTAATATAACCAACCAGGCTTTATCTGTAAAGGATTGTCTGGAATTTATGAAAAGCTCTGCTTTATCTCTGGCTGAGATATGTGGCCATCAAGTTTTCTTCAACTGAGTTTGTGTGTGTGTACATTCTGTGCGAAAAGCAATTACGTCAAAGACATAAAATGATGCAAATAGATTCGCTGGCCACACCTGCAATATGAAAAATTGATGTAAGAATGAACAGGGAGAGACAATTCTGATTTCATAGGTACACCCCAATCCGCACGTTGTCTTTGCTTTTGTTTCTGTCCCTCTGCTAATAGCTCCTCTCCTCCTCTCTCGCAGTAAATCACATGAAGGTCACTCCCATGGATATATCCACAGCCTCTCTGCTCAACGTCTTCAACGGGAACGAGTGCGGAGCACAGGGGTCCTGGCAAGTTGGGGTTCAGCAAGACGTCACCCACACGAACGGCTGCATCGCGCTCGGCATCCGCCTACCTCACACCGAGTACGAAATCTTCAAAATGGAGCAGGATGCCCGGGGCAGGTACTTGCTGTACAACGGCCAGAGACCGAGCGACGGGTCCAGCCCCGACCGACCAGAGAAGAGAGCCACTTCCTACCAGATGCCTTTAATTCAGTGCGCTTCCTCAGTACCCAGATCTGAAGAGTCACCAGAGGAGAATAAAATAAGGCTGTATAGCAGCAGGGCACCGGAAAAATATCCCAGCGCCCCAGCTCTTGCTTTGGTGTTGTTTATTTGTACTGTGTCATATTGGGACATTCTCAGCTAGAAGTGAAAAAAACTTATTTTTCATGACTACAAAGCCAGGATTCCACCAGACTGGGGGTTGTTTTTCTTCTGAAAGAAAGGGACATTTATTTTCTTGATGCACTTGAATGCCTGAGAACTGTTGTTCTTTTCCTTACTTCCCCCCTCCTCCTCGAATCCCGAACGGCACTCGTTTGATGTTTGTGCTTTGAACTTCATCCAGTCTGATCCCTGGCCTGACATGACTGCACAAAAGTAATTGCACTTTAGGACTGCAGACTTTTGGGGGGAGGGAGGGGGTCTCCTTTTTTGTTTTTTTTGTTGTTTTTTTTTTTTAAACTGCTGGGGTGAACGTTATGATCCTGCTTCAGTCATCTCTGCCACCTTACCGTCGTGGTACTCTTCTCCCCAACACCCGGTTTCTCATCAGAATTTAGCTCTGGGGAAGGGCTCGGTGTCGTGCCAGTACTGTGATAGCAGCTTCCCCCTCTGACTTCACAGCTCTGATGTAGATATGTATATAAGGAGGAAACCCACAAAGATTTATCTTGCCATTATCTCACAGCTCGTAACACAAAAAGAAAGAGCAAATCAACAGCCCTCCGTTCAAATAGTGCTAAACGTTGATACTTCTAATTAAAAAATATTCCAAGTAATTTAAGCTATTTTTACAATCATTAAGTTGTAAAAATAACCAGTGGTTTAGTATTTTCTCATTCAATTTCCTTAGCTATGTAATTGCTTCGAGGCCTCCCTTTCTATCTAGCGAGTAGTTACAACCAAGCCCCCTTAAAGCCAGACAGAAGCAGCATTTTTCTGTCGGCTGCACACCGTACAGGTAAGTTGCCGATACAAGGCTGCAGGGACTTCTTCTGTTTTCATATTCCTGAGGCCTTACGTACTCTGCAGTATTTGTGCCTTGGATTTTGTGCCAGCCAGGTGGGCAAAGTAAAAAAGCAAGTGGGGTCTAACATGTTCTGCAGCCCTATTTAGCATCGTATTTTTAGTGGTGTGACCTCGTGTAGGAACAAGTAAAGGCTTTCAGCAGCAAGCACACCAGTAGTAGAGCCCCTAGTAGAGCAAGAAAGCCGCTGGAAACAGACCTGCATCCATCTGATGGAGGGAGACTGCCCAGTCTTACCAGAGGGAAGAGCAAGAGTTGCACAAATGCAGCCACCTCCTCCCTTTTCTTCTTGCTGGACTGTCCCAACACAACACATCCTATGGTTTCACCGAGCTTAAATTGGCATTGGTTTGGGGAGACACTGCTGGGAAGGTGGATAGGCACAGCCCCTCAGAGCATTCTTCAACAAGATCCTGCCCTGGAAACCCTCGGGTTTCCCCCAGTGGCAAATACATGCTTGTGTGCACTGATGCGAATCGGAGCAGACTCTGGAGGCGGTAGGGGAGATGTTTAAGTCCAGCAAGGAGGTAAAAGTTCATAGATGAACCATGCTCCCCTGCTTTACTGTGGAGAGAGCTGAGGGCATGGCTTGACCTTGCGGCATTTGGGCTATGGCTTTTACTGATACACACTCGCGTTTCAGCTCACAGGAGGAGCAGGAACCTGTGTAAGAAACATAAGGAGTAAGGTCATAGCATTTCTTCATCAGTATCAGCAGCTTCTACCTGCCCAGTCCAGTACTATGGGAAAAAAAAGCCTTCAATATGTTATTTTCAGCATCATAGAAAAAGTATGTCTTGAATGAGGGTCTTTCAGCTTCGCATAGATGAGTCTCCATACTGTCTGCTATAGCAAAAGCATCCCTTGAAAAGAGAGTGACAGCATGGACCTTGCTAGCAAAAACAGCAGGAAAAAGCCATTCGAGCAGCAAATGGCTATGCTCAGGCTCTCTACCTCCTCAAAGTCCATGCCTTCTTGATAGTTTTTCCAAGCTGGTATCAGCCTTGGACGTGAATTTCCTCAGATTTACCTGGTCTTGAGACAGCAGGAGGAAGGGCAGAAGGAACAGTATCATAGACTCACTGCCAGGTCAGATCACATCTTTCACATTTTTTCCTCAGACAGATTAGAAGCCACAGAAAATTCATTACGAGTCAGGAACAGAGCTCAGGATGCCTCAGTAGTCACCAGAGAAAGTGTTCATCCATCCATCTGATACCAGATCCTCCTTCAGCCTGCTGGAAGGAGCTGAAAGCCAACTCCCCATGGTGAATCGAGCCCTATGAACAACAGCTGCTCTGATCAGCATTTCTTGATGGTTTTCTGCTCCACGCAGTCAAACCTACTTGAAGAGTCAGTTCTGGATCAGTTGCTGGTAGGGAGGCATCAGGAGCACAGTTTTAACTAGAGGGTCAAGAACAAGACACGATGCCTCTGAAAGAGAAGCTAGGAACCAGGAAGCAGTTTGATTTTCTCTAGCTAGACTTGAGTTTTTTGTTCAGCAGATTTATACCAGCATATCTCCAACCGAGTTACTGAGCTATTACAAGACAGTTAAACAAGTCCTTTGAAATACTAGCTTTGTTTCTGACTTCTGTTCGAGACACAGTAGCATGAATGAATTCATGTTAGTCTTTATGAGGATGGGTATGGCATGATGTTCCTCAGATCAATGAGACAAGCTTCTTCCACCACCATCGACCATTTCCACGTTAGGTTGTGTCATCTCTGGAAAAAATACCAATGGCTAGGAGTTGCCAGACCCCGTTCCTTCCCTATGCAAGTGCCACACACGACTCGGTCCCAGCTGAGATCTGCATATACTTGTGATGCAGGATTGAAGCCGAGAGCAAAGGAACTGCTCCACAGCACGATGTTCGATACTCGTCAGGGCAATGATCTACACTTTATTAGTGCTTCGTGGCTCCTCTGTAAATTGCTTACTGTCAGAAATTTTACAACAGTTTCAAGAGAAAGACCTGTCTAGTTCTTACCTCTAAAAAGCACATTCATGTCTCAACTGTGTTTTGAATCACAGACTTGCAAAGATCTAGGTTTTCCAAGGCTTACCATTACACTAAATGCAAACATGACACAATGTACAAATTGTACAAGAACTGCATTTTTTTCCCTGTCACCTAGAGATTTTAAAAGGAAGCACTTGAAAAAGGCCTTCATAATGCATTGCCAGAAATCTGATTTGGGGCTCCTCTAGTTTATTTGTAGTGTTGACCAGAAACATAGTTTTATGATCTGGGTTCTTAGCATATGCTGCACTAGCTTCCCTCCTTGTGCCTATATATTTTTTCTTTATTTTTCTATTAGCCAATAAAAGCCAAGTTGGACAAAGATGTAAGTAAGTCTTCAGAGTGCACAGTTTATTTGCCAATCCATGTTCCCTGCAAGGCTTCTCCTAGGCTACAGGCACGGAACTAGGAGCTAAGCTTCCTTGATCTTTTGGTTTCATCACGCGCTAAATTAACTGCTGCACAGCACCATATACATTTGTGACACAATATATTCCATTCATTTTATTTCTCCAACCTGACCTCATGTGCTGGCAGCCCTGGCTGCTAAAGAAGTTAAGCCACAAGTGGATTAGCAGTGGAAGACCTACAAACTGAGTGATTTGCCCCACACCGAAATGCAGAAGCTTTAAAAAAATGAAACAATTAATGTTGGTATCTTCAATAACTGCCGATGTTGCCAGGACAGGTGAAAGTTTTTCCCTCAGTAATATCTACTCAAGGAGCCACCTGACAGAAGAAATGGTAACCTGAAGCAACTTGGGCAAATTGTTTTAACAGGTTCTATTTAAGAAAAAGGACAAAAGGGATCAGAAAAAGTCAAAACAAGTGTTCTTGCTCTGTTTCTATACCGTTTACATATTGTGCCTGCTGCCCTGGGGTAGAATGTCATTTTTATGAACAGAAGTCCGTATTTTAAGATACAATGTCTGTCTTGCTTGAGTTGGAGTGTGCTTGCCTAAAGTGCAGGATTAAAAAAAAAAAAAAACACTTTTTATTTTTGTAAAGTTATAGAAGATATTTTTCTTCTCAACTATGTTCCAGATTAAACTGCCAGGGAAGTTTAAGCACTTGTTAAAGTATTGATTGAAATAAAAAAGCCTAACTGAAAAATTAAGGACTTCTTTGCCTCCTACACGTGTTAGTTTTCTGTTTTGTTGACTTTCTACCTATAAAAAATGATAGATGTCTTGGAAAGCAATAACTAAAAATCCCTCTGTTGAGTAACTTGTGCACAGAAAAGCTCATTTTTTACTATATACACAAGAAAACATTTTTGCTTGAGAACACGTCACTAGAAACAGCTCTGATAGACACAGCTGGGATGATTTGGGTTTCACAGCACATCTTCAGGTTCTCTGAATAAAATGGAGGCTGGAAGCGCCCAGCAAGTAACGACGGCATTGGCTTGCAAGGAGAGCAGGGTTAGAGCAGTTGTGTCAGGACAAAGGGTGTGGTTCAACAGAAACAAAATGTTTTTCATAAACGAGCTGTAAGCAAACAAACCAGCATTACTGCTCTGCTATTCCATCTCACTTGCTCTAAGGGCTACAACCTGGATGGGGAGCAGGGAGGGATTAGAAAGGACACTTTTCTTAAAGAGAAAGAAAAATCTGAAATTAACTGAGAATGGAAAGAAAGCCAAAGGATAACAAAAGCATCTTTCCTCAGTGCTGTGCGGTTTCACTCCTGCCTCACTTGCACAAAGAAAGAGGAGGTGAAATGCAGTCAGTGAGACTTCCACCACCACCATCAAAAGCTTTGGAGTTGACCAATTTCTGAGTTTTCAGAAATGACTCAGGAGATCCCTGAAAGATGAGCTCCATTTTCAGGAAGCATGCCCAAAATTACAAGGCACTCCGAATGCAGTAGCCACAGCCTGTGAAGAAGTGGCCTCCCTTCCACACAAAGTGGTGGCTACGGATGAATTCGCGCATAAACAGATTCTACGTGGCATAACTCACTCCTGACGCAACAGGGAAGGCTAGGTAATAAAAACCAGCACCACTCATTTCTGAATTTTATAGTTTCATTAATTTTCCATAATATTCTCTCTTACTACAAGTATTTGCCAAGAACTTTTTCCTTCTAGTCTTCTCCTCTTTAGTGCAATCATTGTTGATTTTTTTAATTACTATTTGCTGCCAGCAATAAATCATAATAAGGAAATGAAGAAACAAGATTTCCACTCCACTGCTGAATCAAGCAGAAACAAACATGGCTGTGAGGAATCAAACCACAAGTACTCTCAACAGCTAAGGAAACGGCGCTGTTGGCCTGAGCAGTTATTTATCAGGCACCTTCTCCCCACCCCTTCTTCTTCACAAGTCTGCTCCGGGGTATAGGATCAGTCCATGGGATGGATTCTAGTTATGGTGCTACCAAGCCCCGAGGACAGTAATTATTTCCTATGTGTCTTCCAGTAACGGGAACTGCCCGTGATCGCCACCTCAAAGCAGGCAGACAAGGATTCCCAACATCCTTTTCCCATGGGAACCACATTGGTCCTTGTCCGCTGCCATTTCCACGACAGTCTGTTGGAAAATGAGAAAGCAAGCTGCGCAGGATAGTGCTGTCTTCAAATAAAGAATTGAGAAAAGTTGGGGAAAAAAGTTTACACTTGGAGTTGTTTGGAATTAGATTTCCTAGATTAACTCTGCTGAATTCTGCAATCCCACCCACAGAAGAAGCCCGGGATCAGACCCACGTACCTTCATCCAGAGGACAGAC